GAGTCTGTGCCCTCTTGTCCTAAAGGAAGAAAAGTATCTCATATTGCTTCTTCGCTGCTGCTGCTGAATGTGTAGCACGTGGGACAAACTGGTGCCTGTCTTAACTGCAGGAAACTGAAGCTTTACTTCTGCAGGGAACTACTTGCTCTGAAGGAACTACTTGTGACTTGCACATCTGTGTAAAATGTCTCCCCACACAACTTGGCTTCATATATTCTCCAACAGATAAAGCATATCCAGTCGAGGAACATGCAAGTGTTTATTTTCATCACCACAAACACCTTCAAAGTAAACCACCCTTAGTTATTCTTGTCAGTTCTTTATTGGTTTTCATCCTAAGGACTAGCACATTTACAGCATACATGGATTGGATGAACTAGAATATATAAAACAGTAGCCATATGTTTATGATATATTAATACTGCCCAAAAAACAAATAAATAAAAATATTTCAATGCACAAAGCTTGGCAAATACAGTCGTGTTGGGACAAAACTGTGTCGTATTATACAGTAATTTTACACGTAGAAATGAAACAAAAGGCAACTGTGCTGTAGGTACTTTCACAGAACATACACAGAACATACTTGGCAACAGTTTTCTCTTTTTTCACCTTTGTATGTTTTATAATTTAAAAAAATGTACTCAAAAAAAGAAGATTAGACAGAACTTCATTTTACAGTAATCCTTAAATTTGCCTCTCCTGTGCAACAGAAAAGCTTTACTTCACCTTGGTGAAGCTTCCCATGTGGATTTCAAGTTTCACAGTTTGTCTTTTATGGTGAACTGCTCGAGATCTTGCTGTTGGTGACACCCTTTGGACCAGCCCACGGAGGTGCAGTGCTGCCCACGGCGTGTGCAGGACGCGCTCGCTGGACGTGTGACGTGGAGGAGTACTCAAACCAGAGTATTTTCAACAAAATACTGCAGTACTTGGGAGTGGAATCACTTCCACCACTTTGAAAAGGTGAGCAAAACCCCATGCACATACAAAACTCAGCAACTCCTTGTGATTACATTGGTATACAAAATAAATAAAGGATGGCTAAGGTCTAGAGTAGGTCTAATGATTGTTGGTCACAGTCTAAGAGAGTGATGCTCCTAATTGTTACAAGAGACCTCTTGTTATTTTCTCTTGAAGATGAACATTGGAAGATTCTTAGTGTGATAATACAGGACTTCAAATATATTTCGCTATGTTTGAAATGTACAAAATAATATTATCAACTCATAAAAACAAAGGGATACAAATAGCAGAGTTTATACAAAAATAAATGTAGCATTTAATAACGGGCCAGGAACTGAAGTTTGAGCAGAACATGGAGAAACATGTCCAATGAGATCCCATTGAAAAGATTTTCACCATGGATTTGTTTACATATTAGCAAATAAACCCCCAACAAAATCAACATGTATGAATTGGCAAACAAAGTTTGTAACATTTCCAAGGGACTGTTCCACTGCAGATGATCTGTTCAGGCCTGGGGTAGGTACTACAATACATTGCTTTTGCACAGAATTCCATATTTTGTTATCCTAGAGAGACTGAAATAATGATAACAGCCCTAGCTCAGCAGAACTCTCTGACCTGCCTTTGTGACATGCTGCTCAGTGTCAAACTGCAGAAAGCAAAATGCAAAAACTGCTAGACCTGTAACCCCCAAAGCTACATGGGAGCAGGATGGACATGGCTGATTGATAGAGCAGTGACAGCACAGACAAACATCAGTGAGAGGGAGAAAGCAATCAGAAAACAGCCAAATACTTACCTGGCTGTTGCTACTCTCACAAGAATAAATGGGCAGGTTTTTCTAGGCTAAAACTTACATCCTTGGAAGCCAAGAAGGAGAGGACACTGTGCTGAACTAGCTAGAGATTCCTCACTCCTGTTAAAGGTTGGAAATGATGTTCAGCTGCTTTGTGAAGATATCTTAGCTCCAAAGGCATTCTCAGGGATGTTATTTCTGAGGAGATCTGTTGAACATCTTTCATGAAATGCTATCAGACTGCTCACCTATGTCTAGCTAGAACCCACCTGTGGTTCTCAGGCAGCAGCAGCAGCACAAGGAGCAGTTCCTTTCTAGCAACAGGAGCATCTCCACCTTCCTCAGCAATGCCCTAACACCAGCCTCACTCCCCCTGCCAGGATTCTGAACAGCTGAAATGGAAAGGTAAACACAAACCAGTTTTGGTTTAGGGGGTAACAGGGAGGCTTTGGGCACTTGGGGCATTTTTGCATCGACATACAAAATTGATCTAGAAAAAGCAAATCAAACAGTGATCAAAGTAACGTGATGCCCCGAGAGGCTAATGCTCACAACCCAGAGGTGCTATAGAAACCATGGGTCAAAATGTGTTAATTAATGTACAACACCATGGATGTGTCTTGTGCAACATCAGCACTTGCCTTGGGGTGAGGAAGGGCAGGGGGAGCTGCTGCTGCATCATCATGTTCCTGAAACAGTTTTGGAAATCATTTGTGTGCCCAGTCTGTCCAAGGTGACAGGAGTTTGCTTCATCTGAACAGAACTAGGAGCCAGACCTCACATATCTGGCCTGTTACAGATAGTTAATCTCATGGATGAAGATGGCACCCTATATACAGGAAAACAAGTCCTTCTCCTGGCTTTTATTGTGCTGATTTTTTTTTTTTAATGTAAGTTAAACCCCTGTTTTTTTCTGATTGTAACAATGCATTCTACAGTTCCTAGACTGCCTAGTCTAGTATCCCTTTTTATTTACAACTTGTGAGGTTTACTCTCAGTTTTAAAAAGTCTATGAAAAGCTCAATCTCCTCAAGTCAACTCAGTATAAAAAGATGTGGTGTGAAACAGCTGCCTAAATTCCATCCCTAGAGTCCTTGCCCATCCAGGAGGTACCTAGCTAATTTGCATATAGGTAATTATTAAGTAGCACAATATCTGTTCATCTTACATACACTGAAGGCTATTTAAACGGGCAGAGAGTCATCACACTATTCTCAAGCTAAGGTGTCAGAATAATTGTTACTAGAGATTCCAATTCAGTAAGTAACATGCTCCGTATAGTCTAGCGAAACGTACAAAAAAAAAAAAAAAAAAAAAAAGAGGTTATTTATCTCTTCTGGATGACAAAATCATGGTTTAATCTAGAGTGTATCCACATGTCTGAATGGAACAGCAATTAAAGGACATGGTATGCTCATGTTTCAACTTTTCCATAAGTTCCTTCTGGAGGCCTGTAATACTTTGGGAAAGCCTTCAGTTGCAGGGAATTAAACGCATACTTGCGACATCCAACATTCTTCATTGTATTTTCCCGGCGACAACCCTCACTGGGGAAAAAAAACAAGCACAAAAAATGACAGCAGTAAAAAGGGGAAAAAAAAAAAAAAAGAAGAAGAAGAAGAAGAAGAAAAAGCAAAAGACTTAAACTAAGATGAAATGAACTGGTTATTTCATAGCATTAAAAAAAAGTTGGTTATATTTAATGAGCGTTTAATTCGTTTGCCACCGCAAATCTCAAAGAGGATGACTCGTCGTACAATGCTGGCAAGAAGCACACAGAATGGACACATGCTATGTCTGGTTGCTAGTTTTGCATTTCTAGAAAGCAGCAGCACATCTAGTGAGAAAGGTCCTTGGCGACGGTTCAGGTATCTCAGGGCACTCCACTGTGCTCCATCTCACCAGGGATCCCCAGGCACTGCTCAAAGGCAGCTCTGCTAATTGATTAATACATTAAGCTGAAAAAGAAAACCTGCTGAGCTCTCTAGAAGAGCTTAGAAGTTACTGTTGCCTGTAGGTCAGTATTATCAGTACTTACTTACAGATTAGAGCTGATACAAAAATAATGACTTTCCAGTTATCTCTGCATGCATAAATTGACTTGAAAACCAACAGAGTCTAAAAAAAATATCTTAATCATGAGCTAGCAGCTTTGCATGGGTGCCAGAAAAGCCTGGCTGTGCTGGCAGGCAGCACCCCAAGGAAACAAAGCTGAGCAGAGTTTAGCTTTCCCCCAGCGTTTCGGTGCGACTGCCCCACGATACAAAGAGGTTCTTTGCTACAATAAAAAACTACTCCAGTTATAAGGCTTCTTGACACTTGGAAATCTAACTCAGAGTTCCTTTGATTATATCCAAAAAACAGACATACAAAGAGGAAGCACTATCTCTTAAATATAGATTAGAAATCAATTTAGGCTTGCAGGAGAATGTCCTTCCCTGATAGAGAACGGAAACCTAGACAAGGAACACTAGACCTTCATGGCAAAGTGTACAGTACAGCATCTGGTGGTGGAAGGGTCATGTTTTTCCTGCCCTGGAGATGGCTGCAGCACCTTCCAGGTAAGCTGTGGTCAGCTGATTCAAAGGGAGGGTTTGGATTCTGGTTCAGTTTGAAAGTTCCTCTGCTCTTACTGACCTCACCGTTCTTCTAATTTTGCTTCGTCAAACTGTTTGCGACTGTGCTCTGTACACAGCAGCCAGTTCAACTGCACAAAATCCTGTCTTTGTTTTGCTTTAAGAAGCAAAGTTTGAAACGTTTCTCTGGAGCACATTCTGTGCCTTTTCTAGAATGGATCCTCTGTGTGAACACGATTTCTCTGGCATTTCTCTGGAGCACATTCTGTGCCTTTTCCAGAATGGATCCTCTGTGAGAACATGGTTTGTGGTTTACAGAACCCTCAAGGCTGTTGCAGCCAAATAGATTCACCAAAAATGTGCACACAGTATCCTTCAGAGCACCAGTGAAACCAACTGGTTTAACCTGCAAATCAAATGCTGCTGGATGAGCATTTTAACTCCAGAGGGAATTGTCCTGGGCATTCCTTTGTCCCTCTCTGGCACAGAGATGGGGACAAAGTTGTAGGGGACACAGCAGTTCTAGGCACCAGCACAGGACCCTCCAACATCAATATCCTCATACCACAACTCTAAATCTCACCAGCACTAAGCAAGTACCAAAGTCACTGCAACTAAAAATAAATAGGATACATGCTTAAATATATATATACACACATTTAAAATATACCTGTTTTTCTGGTGTTTTGGTTTTTTTCTCTTTTACAAACAAAATTGGAAGAACAGTGAGGAAAAAATATCAGGAGATAGTGTACTGTACAGTCTGATTTCATGAAGACACAAATATAACCACACTTTTTTTTTTTTTTTTAGTTAGAATAATGAAATCCAAATTTAGGATTTGATTTTAATTTTTATTCTAACTGTTCTTTTTTTGGTTTTTTTTTTTAAGCATACTTCTCTCAGCAGCTTTCAGATTCCATGAAAATCGATAATAAAAGCTACAGCTACCTATAATTTTTGAGCAAGTTAATAATAGTAGAAAATACAAATCACAGTACTAGTTCTCCTCAGAAGCCCAATGTCATCTCAGGCACCAAGCGAAGTAAATCCCTTTATGAATTTACCAAACTACATTAAATGAGGTTATTTTATTTTTTTTATCAGCTATTGCTATTGACAAGCTCTGCCAGACCACTGCACCCACAAAACCTCTCAGTTTCAAGAGGCCTCCCCCAGTTTGATGTGATTGATAAATGGTGATGAAACTTCACCTGCAGTTCCTCTGCATCACTAAACCAGGTGAGCCACTTGTGTCCCATCACTTGAATAAATGCCAACTTACCATGGCTCGTGTGCCACTAAGTCACTATCAGCATCAGAATTTATTAAAGCTGTGCAACACTTAAAAATGGAAGTAACAGTAATATTTAGCCTAGTGTAATTAAAGCCCAATGGAAAAAATCTCAAGCCCACCCACTAAAGGAGCCAACTGATACCTCCATCTCCTAGCCTGAAATATTACAGACCAGTATCTTTAACTGCTGGGGTGATAATGACCCTGTTTCAGAGCAAGTTCTGTAACAGAGCACCTGAAACAGATAATGGATCATTAGCTCATGCCAACTACATCCCCTTCCTAGCCACAAGTCATTCTCTTCATGTCTTTAATACATTGCAAAATGCAGATCTACAAAGAGAGTGAGATAACTCTGCATGCAGCACACTGCAGGTTCTGAGTGGGTACACTAGTCTATTAGAACATACTTCACCATGAGAAAGGAACAAGGCTATGGTTCTACAAAGTGTTCAGTAAGGTAATTTGGATATTATGCTTTGAAATGAAGGTAGAAATTTGTTATCTCTTTAAATAAATTTCTTATAAACCCCACCCGTGTTTTTTGTTTGGCTCTTCATACCTCGTAAAAATGAAAGGCAAGATTAGCATACACCTTAAATATAGAAAAAGATACAAATTCTTTTTTTGGACAGAGTTCCTTTCTCTGGAATACATGAAACAAGTAACACAAAACTGTATTTGGTAAGAGATCTTCAGGCCGGCTAAAGTAACGAGGTAACAGGCCAATGTCAGACTATGTTACAAGCACTGAAAGCAGAACAATAATTGAAAGTTTCAATACAATTCTTTTTTTTTTCCTTTTGATAAAATAATTTGATGTATATTTACAGTTTAGTACAATAGAAACGTAAAATTGTAAGGCATAATAATAATAATTCTTGGCAGACAATGCTATGACACATTCCTTTGTCCAGCAGGTACCAAGTGGCAATACACATTCAAGCACTTTTTTTTTTTGTTTGTTTGTTTGTTTTGTTAAAAGTTTATCTTCACTTGCAACGTAATCTGGCCACCAGGTATGCTATGCTCAGAAACAGCCACACAATCAGTAAATTGGGGCTGAGAGCTAGTAAAGGAATAGAGTAGAGGAGGCTGGGATCTAGTCTGAAATCTCGGATGGGCACCAAGCCACTCAAGTTCTTCTGGGTGACTATCTCCCGTGTTCCAATGCTGTGAAAAGGAAGAAGGTTGGGAAGAGGGAAAATAAAACAGAAAGGAAGATGGACATGCAAATGAACGTGGAAAAAGAGATGGCAACACAGGGTGGTCAGGAAAATGATAAAACGTGGAAGAACGCACAACAAAACCAGAAGATGGAGCAAAGAAAGAGGGGGGAAAACATCTCAAAAAT